AAAATCCTAAATGGCCCAATATCAATAAATGAAATTGAAGATGAAATTAAAAACCTATCAACAAAGAAAAACCCATTTCCTGATGGATTCACTGCTGAATTCTACAAGAAATTTAGTGAAGAGCTAACACAACTACTTCTCAAACTCTTAATGAAATAGGAAGGGTAACAATACTTCCAAATTTATTTCTGGAAGCAAGCATTACTCTGATTCCAAAACCAGAGAAGGACCTAATAAGAAAGAGAATTACAGAGCAATCTCCCTAATGAACATAAATGCGAAAGTCCTCAGTAAGATAAGATACTGGCAAACAGAATACAGCAAATTATCAAGAAGATTGTACACCATGGTCAAGTGGGATTTGTTCCAGGGATGCAGGGATGGTTCAACATACATAAATTCTTAAATATAATACACAATATTAACAGAGCCAAGGACAAAAATTGTATGATTGTCTCAGTGGATGCAGGAAAAAGTTTTGACCAAGTCCAGCAGCCATTCACGATAAAAACCCTGTAGAAAATTGGAATAGATGGTCTTTATCTCAATCTGATAAAAGCCATCTCCAACAGCCAACATCATACTAAAGGAGCAAAAACTGAAAGCTTTTACTCTAAAATCAGGAACAAGAGTCTGGGGATTTAGCACAGCGGCACAAGCAGCTGCCTGGCAAGTATGAGATTGTGAGTTCAATCCCCAGTACCAAAAAAAAAATAAAATAAAATAAAATAAAATCAGGAACAAGACAAGGCTGTCCACTGTCTCTACTCTTATTCAACATAGGACTAGAAACTTTAGCTGAAGCAATTAGACAAGAGGAAAAAATTAAAGGAATAAACACAGGAAAAAGTTAAACTATCATTATTTGCAGATGACATGATAATCAATTTAGAAGAGCCCAAAAACTGCACCAAAAGACTTCTAGATTTAATAAGCAAATTCAGAAATGTAGCTGGTTAAAAAATCAGTGCTCAAAAATCAGTAGCATTCCTGTACATGAATAACAAACTCACTGAGGGAGAAATCAGGGAAACGATACCTTTCACAGTAGCGTCCGAGAAAGTGAAATACCCAGGAATCAATCTAACAAAGGAGGTAAAAGGCCTCTACATTGAAAGCTACAGTACTCTGAAAAACGAGTGAAGAGGATATTAGAAAATGGGGAGATATCCCGTGCTCTTGGGTAGGAAAAACCAATATAGTGACAATGGCCGTACTGCCAACACTGTTATACAGATTCAATGCAATCCCAGTCAAAATTCCAACAGCATATCTCACAGGATTAGAGAAAAAAATCCTAAAATTCATCTAAAACCAGAAGAGACTAGAATACCAAAGACAATCCTGGACAACAAAGACAGGACAGGGGGCATCACAATCCCTGACTTGAAATTATACTATAAAGCTACTATGATAAAACCTGTGCTACTGGCGAAAAAAACAGACTCAAAGATCACTGTAATAGATTAGAAGATGCAGAAATAACTCCAGACATACTCAGCTACCTTATCTTTGACAATGGTGCCAAACACACATTCACTGGAAGAAAGACAGCCTCTTTAATAAATGGTGCTGGAAAAACTGGCTCCACACATGCTGAAGATTAAAACTGGACCCATATCTTTCACCATGTACAAGGTAAAATCAGAATGAATCAGAGATCTTAAGATTAAAACAAATATTAAATTGGTTGGAAGACAGAGTAGGTAAAACTCAAAGATACTGCTGGGGATTTAGCTCAGCGGCATAAGCACCTGCCTTGCAAGCAGGCGGTCATGAGTTTGATCCCTAGTACCGATAAAAAAAAAAAAAAAAAAAAAAAAACTCAAAGATACCATTGTAGGCAAAGACTTTATAAACAAAACCCCAATTGCATAGAAGCTATCACAAAGAATCAACAACTGGGATCTCACCCTACTAAAAAGTTTTTGCAGAGCAAAATAAACCACCACCAGAGTGAAGAGACAGCCCACAACGTGGGAGAAAATGTTTGCCAGCTCTTCCTCAGACAAAGGATTACTATGGAGAACATAGAAAGAACATACTCATTAGTCAAATAAATAAGACACGTGTAAACACTGTATTGTTTCATTAGTGTGACAGGCTGAAAGAAAAAATATATGTATAGATATATAAATAAATAGTTAAGGTAGTTATACCACTGATTTCTCTGAGTTTGCTGAAGAGAAAGATTTGTGCTGGTCTTGTTCAGACAACTGAATGCAGATGTCTTGTGCTCTGGGTGAATGATTTGGGGGTGACAGTATGCAATGTATGTACCGTTGTTGCCTCCTGATTGATGTGTTTTCAAATTTTGTGATAGTTTTTTCTTCATCTTTTTCTTTCTTTTTATCATTGAATAAAATGGATTTGAATAAAAAAGATCAGGAAAACAAAGTGTTTCAAGCCCTGAAAGATAACTTCCAAACAGACCCTTGTCCTGCAAAACTTTGTCTCAAAAGTGATACAGAAATAAGGTATTTCCATGACAAAGAGCACCTCAAGAAATTCAGGACCACCAAACAGCACTCCAAAAATTCTCATGCATGTCCTTTAAAGGAACAATGAAATCAACAATGCCAAAAAAGTCTAATAGAATGAATATACCAGGTAGGATGAGCAGTTAAGCAGAAAGAAAGAAAAAGAAAACAAGAAATTAGCAACAGAAAGCAGTGGGGTCACAGGGATAGGTCAGTGCCTTTCAGTAATAACTGTCAGTGTAAATGGTCTCAATGCCTGAGTCCAAAGACACAGAGTGGCAAAATGGAGCAAGAAACAAAACCTAGTGATATGTAGTATAATTTTAAAAAAGATTCACCCATTAAAAATCAAAGGATGGAAAACAATATTCCATGCAACAGGAACCCAGAAAAAAGCAGGAGTAACTATCCTAATTTCAGACAACGTGAATTCCAAGCCAAAATTGATCAGAAGAGTCAAAGAAGGTCACTACATATTGGTTACAGGAGTAATTACACAGGAAGGTAACAATTATATATACACCAGCACACCCATCTTCACTAAACAACTGCTACTGAACATAAAACATCAGATAGGAGCAATTATGAGGGACTTCATTGCCTCTGTCACCAATAAACAGATTGACTAGACAAAAAATACATAGAGTTGAATAAATGAAGCTTTTGAATAAACGAACTTGAAGGATATCTACAGAGTATGCCATTCAGCAACAACAGGGACTTCCTCCAAAACAGACCAATTGCCAGTTCATAAAGCCAGCTTAAATAAATGCAAAGGAACTGCAGTTATACCGTGCAGTGAAACTAGACATCAATGGCAAAAGAAACAGCAGGAATTATGCAAACATGTAGAAAGTAACAATACTCTTTTTTTTTTTTTTTCAAACTTTTTATCGGTACCGGGGATCAAACTCACGACCGCCTGCTTGCAAGGCAGATGCTTATGCTGCTGGGCTAAATCCCCAGCCCCCTAAACAATAATCTTTTCCCTTAGATAATTCAATACCAGGCAATGAAATTGAAGAAGTCATAGCCTACCAACTTTTGTAAAAGGTCCAGATCCTTCACTGCCAAATTCTGTGAGAACTCGAGAGAAGATCTAATGCCCATTCTCCTCAAACTCTCTGATGAAATCAGATGAGGAGGTGCACTCTGAAGGTCCCTGCAAGCTAGCAGCCATAGGCCAGGCAGGCCTTGCTCACTCCTGCGTGTGTTCCTGCCCTCCCTGGCACTCACTTCTCTGAAGATAACTGCGGAGCGTCATGCCGTGGGGGTTTCTGTGTCTGCCAGTGCTGAGACCCCGATCTGATGAGACTCCAACACTCCCTGGGCACCATCACTCTGTTCCCACTGTTGCTCCCTGGATAGCCACACCATTTCTCCAGACAATGAGATGACCAGGGGAGGGCACAGGGTACCCCATTCTTGGGGAAACAGTCATGGGGTGTCTGAGCTTTCACAGACACAGTGCTGGCCTCAGGTTGAAGCCATCTGAGGGTTTTTAAAGTGCTGATGTCTATCCTGGCCTGAGTTGTGGCCCTCTGGGCAGTGGTGTTTGTTTCTAATGACCCTAATTCCCAGGCAGGTTGAGAAGCCCTGGTTGGAGGTACCAGGTGACAGACACAACAGAGGACATCAATTCCATACTGCCCAGGCCAGCAGCACCCAAGGGCTCATCCTTTGCACAGGACAGTTCTCCCTCAATTCTAATGTGCCCACTGGGCTCACTTTCCCTTCCTGAAATCACCCTGTGGCCATGACTCTGACAGCCAGGCATCAGGTGACAGGGAAACCTCAGTCTCTGACACTACACAGCCAGGAGTTATATTTTTTTTTTATCGGTACCAGGGATCGAACTCACGACCGCCTGCTTGCAAGGCAGGTGCTATGCCACTGAGCTAAATCTCCAGCCCCACAGCCAGAGTTAAAGACAGTGCTCTCCAGAAAATCCCTAGCTTTCTTGGGGGGTGTGAGCTGAGTAGAGCCATCAACATTCACTAGTGAGACCTTGCCCTGCCTCCGCCCGGGCCACAGGGGGACATTGGGACTGTGACAGTTGATGATTGTGGGCGGCATAGTTGGTGTGCCAAGAGCAGGCTGGAGGTAGACATTCTGTGAGGGTCCAGGCCCCCAGCCTCACTTGCCAGCTATCCACCTGGAAGAGTCTTCTGGAACTCAGACCCCCTTTCCCCCAACCAGGGTCAGTGCCATGCACCCTCGTGGGGCATGGCCCAGTACACAATCAGTAGGATGAGAGCTTCAGGCAGGGTGGTCACCCAGCCCAGGCGCCAGGCCAGGAAGGGCCTGGGGTTCTTATTCATGTCCTCAGCTACACTCCCACGATGCAGGAACTGGCCTAGGACTTCTGCACATCTGCCGCTGGCGCTGCCTCCCCTCTGCACCCCCACACCAGCCTGGGGGCATTTGTCTAGTCTGGAGTTATCTCCACTCTGGCTGCCGCCTCTGCATACCCAGTAGACAGGAACAGTAGGGGGCCCTGGTAGTCTGATCATCAGCCAACCCCAGAAAAGGCCTTGGTCATGTGATTTCTAAGAAGTGAAACCAGTCTGATTTTGAGGCCTTTCCTGGAATCAATCTGAACACATCCACACAAGGAAGGCAGTCTGGGCTGAAGGACCCTTCTGCAGAGGACTCATCCACACTGAGTTCCCACAGCAGATGCAGGGAGGCTCCAGGATGCTTTCAGCAGCTGCCTTGGGCAGGTAGGCGCCTGCTTCTCGCTCCCAGTCGGGCACACTTCTCTGCACAGCATGATGGAGGCCCCCACCCCCACCCCGCTTCTCTCTTTGCACCCAGACTAGGAGCTGGGTGATTCCCCGCTCTTGAGCCTCGGAACCATCTTTGCTGTTCCCAGACCTGCAGGGCCTCTGCATACAGGTGGGCAAGTTTTTCACTGCACAGATTCCAGCCAAGGCACCAAGCTGGTTAAAATCCAGCCCTCTCTCAGTCTACTTATCCAGGCCTGTTCTGCGCTCACCTGAAAGAAGCATCCCTTCTCCCAACTTGCACGAAGGGCCAGTCCAGAAGTTTTGTCCCAGCTTTCCACACAGGGGCAGAAATGGACAGCCGCTGCCACCAAGAGGGCAGCAAGGTCCCCATAGCAAGTGCTGGGGCAGCTGCTGGTGACTGCACCTCCACTAAGTATGCCAGAGAACAGGGGTTTCCCAGGGCATAGGCCTCCCAGGACATGCAGTAAACACAGTGTGACCTGGACCTGGCTAATGTCTCTGGGCTTCAGCTCGCTCAGCCAAGCCATTATTTCTCAAGGGTCATAGCGAGCCCGGAGGCGCGTGACATGTCCTGCAGGGTCTCCATGAATGAGAGACCGAATACAGACTCCACTCAGAGGTGTGGCACAGTCACGATTGAGCACTTCCAACTGACCCTGAGGATGCTGCTGCCACCACCTCTGGACAGCAAGGGGCCACAGCCAGCCCCAGGGCCACCAGTTCACTGCCTGGTGGCCCCCGGGAGTGGAGTGGGCCTCACTGTTATCTTCTAGAGCCAGAGACACAACCCATCCCCACTAGCTCTCCCTGGCTCCCCGGCTCCTCCCCTGACTCCACCTCTTCTCCCTGGCTCACCAGCTCCTCCCCTGTCTATCACTAGCCAGGACCTGAGAAGGGTTAGGGAGGTACCCTGTCCTGCAGATGAAGATAAAAAAGTATACAGAGGGGAGAAGTCTAGACCAAAGGCCAAGACCTGAGTGGTGGTCCTGTGGCCTTGGTGTTCTGGGTCACAGCCATGGCCACCACCCACCCAGCTGCACAGAGGCCTGAACGTCAGCCGGGGATCCTTTTCTCCTTCCCCCACTCCCAAGACTCTCCCTGTGGCCAGTTGCTTGCCCTTTCCACAGCCTCCTCCAGGTGGGCCCCGTGCCCTGCCCCGGCCCCTCCACTGCACACCCCGTACCCCAGCACACCCTCTGGGCTCAGGCTCATTCTCTGTCCATACCCGCCTCATCACCCTCCCAGACGGCCTTGCCCTGGACCTGGCTGCCTGGGGACCCTGCCGGAGAGGTAGAGCAGCTCGGTCCCGGAGCCGTCCACTCCTGCATCTCACTCCGTCCTTTCTTCCTTCTCCCCATCACAGGCTTGGGCTTCCAGGCAAGGCCTCGGCTGTCCCGTGGCTCCTCTGGCTGTGGCTGCTAGTCCCAAAGACTCACTGTGAGTAGAGCCTCTGGGAAATGCCCAAAGTACCAATCTGCGAGGCTGCTGTGCTCCGCTGTGCAGGGTAACCCAATACTTGTAGAGGTCACAGAAGTGTCCTGCCTGTCACCTGAGTCCCAGGGACTGGCTGGGTCTTCTCTCTGTGTGGCGTTCCAGTCACCCCAAGTGAAGATGGTTTATAGATCTGGGAGAATCAGGGCTCTTGTGCCCAGGTGAGATGCAGGCACTGGAGAAAACACCAAGGAATTCCTTTTCCTACTGGTGGGCCCAGGGGCCCAGCAGGACACCAGTCAAACCAACTAGCCGCTAGGACTGCCATGAGGTCACTGGTCACACTTCAAGGGTCCTGGCTATCTTTCCTTCATGGGCCCCGGAAGCCTTGTTCTGTTTTGGTGTGCATCTGCTTTTAGTACTAACAATCCCCGAATCCAGACTCCCAGCTCCTGCCCTGTCAGCCCCAGCAGAGTCAGGGATCGGGCGTTTCTGAGCTGAGCTCAGAACAAGAGTGAGCAGAGATCCCAGTTACGCTCTTTGCTTAAAACTTTCTCACTTTACAGTGCGCAAAAACTACAAGTTTAATAGAAACCCCACTTGGCGTGTGATTTCAGCCTTCCCTGGCTAGTGGTCTGAGGTCTGACAGGCACACACGGTGCTGCAAGGGCGGCAATGTGCTGCTCAGGTCAGCTGTGGTGTGGGGGGACACACCCAGGGGCCTCCCTGGGTCCCGGAGCAGTCAGGCTGTCCCTGAGCGTGTGTGGATCCCACACTCCTCCCACATTTGATATTTCCTATTTATGATGGCTTTCTCAGGCCATACCCCATCTTAAGGTGAGGGGAATCTACACCCTGACTGTGTATCCAGGGGTCCCTGGGCCTACTGCCCCCAAGATCAGCAACCTGGAACCACAAATCCTCGCAGGGGTCACTGTGGAGCTCCCTTAACTCTGTTCTTTCTGAGGGTCCCTCTGCCTTTGCTCTGGGGTGCAGAGGCTGCTTTCTTGTGGAGCAAAGGCCTGGGGAGCTCACAGACAAGGAATCATGACTTGGTCCCTGTGGGGGTCCCTGCAAATCTCCCCTTCTCAGTGGGCAGCCCCTGGTGAACAGAAGGGGATTTCAGAGTGGTGAAAGTTGAGTCCCGGCAGGTCTCCCAACACTGGGGACATCACTGCAGCCAGGAGAGCACAGTTCCCCTGCCACTGACCTTGGCTTTCCTGCAGGTGCCCAAGATGGGGACATGAGGCTGGCCGGCGGTGACACGGCCAACGAGGGCCGTGTGGAGATCTTCTACGGAGGCCAGTGGGGGACGGTGTGTGACAACCTCTGGAACCTGGCCGATGCCAGCGTCGTGTGCCGGGCTCTGGGCTTTGTGAATGCCACGGAGGCACTGGGCAGAGCCACCTTTGGGCCAGGTGGGGCTGCCATCCTGTCCCCAAAGCTGAGGTCCCAAGACTGACCAGGGTCGGGCTTCACAGATGTGCAAGTTGTGGGCCCACTGGCTTTCTGTGCAGTGGCTTCCATTGGGATGGCCATCTGAGCGTGGCCCAGGGACACAAGGGCTCAGTGGTGGGACAGCCACCTGGGTTATGGTACACTATCGTACACTAACTTGATGTCATGACTTGTAGGAATCACTAACTTGATTCCTAACTTGTAGGAATGAGGCTAGGCTTCCGGTGCAATGGTGCAGAGGCCAAGTGCTGCCCAGGGGCCAGGGAAGAGGAAGACGTCTAGGAACTGCAGGGCACCAGTGTCCCCTTGGCGGGGCAGTGGCCTCTTCCCCCACAGAGGCCCAGCATCAGTTCTTCTGTGCCCACAGGGACCGGCCCCATCATGCTGGATGAGGTGCAGTGCACAGGGACAGAGCCCTCACTAGCCAGCTGCAGGTCCCTGGGCTGGCGGAAGAGCAACTGCAGGCACGACCAGGATGCGGGTGTGGTCTGTACCAATGGTGAGCTCCAGGCTGCCCCTCCCTTGTGCCCGTCCCCCAGCACCCTAGGTGCAATCAGCTCCAGTGGTCTCCTCCTTCCCAGGAGGAATCACAGAGCCCTGTCCACCTCACTACTGCAGGGTTTCAGGAGCACCTCCCCAACCCACAGGCACCCCACCTGCACAGGCCACCGTTGTGCACCCCGCTCAACTCCCAGCTCCATCCTGTGCTCCCAGCAGCCCAAGTCCCAGCCCCACGGGTGGCTCTGGAGTTATTTCTTCCTCCCTCCCTTCTTTCTGGACCAGCTCCCTGACCTTGGGGTTCTCCAGCCCACCTCCTCCACCCCTGCTGGAGCCTCTGACAGCTGGGGATGCGGGTGGAATCTTGCAACTCTGGAGCATGGGTACTGGCTGGGCAGGAGGAGTCAGGCTCCCAAGGAGGGATGAAGGGCTTTGGGGAGGAGGACTGGAGAGGTGAGCTGGGAGTGTCTGGAGGGTTAGTGTGAGGAGGGACAGGGGCAGGCTAACCTGGTTTAAATGTCAAGATCACTTCACCACAACCTGGGCAAACACCAGACCTGCAGAGTTTGGTTCCCAGGAGGTCTGCAGGGTGAGGAAAAAGGGGAAACCCTGGGATCTCTCATAATAATTCCTCTAGGCCTCTCCTCCCAGGAGGCTGTTGCGGCTCCCCGGGCTCTAACGTGAAGGAGCATATACCCCTAACTCCTCAGGCATCCTCAGACCATCTGCAGGCGAGAGTTGGATTTAGAGGGGTGCCCTTTGCAGTGATTGATCAATTGAGCTTAGGGGTCACCATATTCTCCCCTGTGGGAGGAGAGTAGAGGGCCAGTGTGGGCCTAGAGAGGGCCAGGGGCCACCATTCGTTCTTGTTCAGTGGGCCGGAGAGCAACTGTACCTCCTGCCAGGCCTCGGAGGGAGTCAGGTCCAGCCCCTCCCTCGCCTTCCTGAGTCTTATTCCCAAGGAAGGGGCTGGTCCCGGGGCACGGTAGTGGGGCTCAAGGTCCTAGAGCGAGCCATGGCAGCACCGGGCCTCATGCACACTTTCCCACTGCCCCTTGCAGAAACCAGGGGCGAGTACACACTGGACCTCTCTGGGGAGCTCTCCGCTGCCCTCGGCCTGATCTTCGACAACCAGCAGGGCTGCGACCTCTCCATCCAGGTGGTGGGGCAGGGGCAGGAGGAACTGGCCCTCTGCGCCCACACAGTGATCCTGCGTGCCAACCCCGAGGCGGAGGCCCTGTGGGAGAAGCCAGGCAGCAGCATCATCATGCGTGTGGACAGCGAGTGTGTGTTTGTGGCCAGGGACTTTCTAAGGTGAGTGGCCTGGGGCCCTGAGCTGCCCCGTGTGTCCTCCTCCCTTCTCCCATGCAGCAGCACAGTTTTGAACACATAAACACATGCTATGCACGTGTACACACAAACACAGAAACGTGTTCTCTCACATACCTGTGTGTTCCACACTCATACACATATGCACACATGCTTATTCCCACACACACACATATCTTTACTCTCACAGATGCTTTCACATCTCACACCTGCACACTGAAGCATTCTCACATCTGAACATTCACTCACACGTGTGCCATGCCCTCACTTCAGTTTACACACTTCTCACACACATGCATGTGCTGACACACGTGGGCACTCCCACCCAAACTCACCTGCACACAAATGTTTTAATTCCTTATGAGACACAATATAAGAAATCTCAAGAGAGCCAAAAAGGGTGGCACTTGCCTGTAATCCCTGCACTCTGGGAGGCTGAGGCAGGAGGGATTTGAGGCCAGCAGTTCAAGAGCAACACTGTCTCAGAGTAAAAATTACAAGGGGGCAGGAAGTGCAGCTCAGGGCAAAGGCCCTGGATTCACCTCCCAGCAACAAACAAACAAAACTCTTCTGACACTCATGTCTGAGCAGCCGTGGATGGAGAGGCAGCAGGAGGCAGAGCTGCTTTGTATGGTGTCTGGGGAACAGGAAGGGAGTGCATGTGTGGGTGTGTGGGTGTTCATGTGCGTGTGCATGCGTGCGTGCGTGCGTGTGTGTGTGTGTGTGTGTGTGTGTGTGTGTGCACCAAGGGCAGAAGGGACCTTTGTTTCTGGCCCTCCTCCCACCAAGGCCACAGGTCTGGCTGCTGCCTATCAACGGAGATAATAACAGCGCTGGGACTCAGCCACACCCAGCCCTCAGGAAGGCACATACACTGAGGATTCACGCACATGCACGTGCACATGCACACACACACACACACACACGCACCTCAGTGTCTTAGGGATGCCATGTGCAAGTCTAAGTACCCAGAAATAATCGTCACAGTCATCCTCACCCCCGACCTTACTGCCCTTGCCCACATGGGAAGGTGGAGGCGTGTGACCGTTCTCATGGGGAACTGGTCTCTGGGCCTCTGCATGTGGCTTGTGTCACTCTGGGGGCTCTGCCAAGTCCCCTAAAAGGAATGTAGGACCCCAAGTTTCCCCTGCTGGCTACGAGTGTGGGGTTCCACAGTCTCCCCACCAAAGAGGCTTCCTGGAGACTTGTATTTTGAAAGCAGCTCTTTTAAAAAAGCTTGAATTTATTAAAAAGGATTCTCTCTCATCTTATGACCCAAAGCTTTATATAACTGAAAGTGACATTTAAGAAGGAACGGTATTGGCAATTAAAAACAGATTTGAATGGTTTCTCTCCAGGCTGGTATAAAAAGCCCCTCACTGAGGCAGCCTGCAGCCCTCCGGGTGGGTCGGACCCCAGCATGCTGGAGATGGAGGCGGGGCCTGCACTGCCTGCTGGCCCCCCAGTTCACAGCCCGGGGCCGGCTGCTACCTAGCTCTGACTTGGTCTCTCCCACCTGCCTCTGTCTCTCCCCCAAGGTGGGTGGAGATGCTGCAGGGAGGCCCCAAAGCCCTAGGAGACCACCCTGGACCCTTCCCTCCCTGTGCCCACACACTGGCTGCCAAGCCAGGGGACCTGGCAGTAAGCTGCTCCTCTGCCAGCTGCTCTTGGCCTGCAGGACCTTCTTCCTCCCTCTCGGTGTGTTTAGTGCCCTGAGGAATCCAGGCAAGGCCGGAAGACTCACTCTGATTCCCGTCCCCTGCCCGGGGGACACAGACATCCCCTGCTCGAGGCTGAGCCCATGGGTGGGGTGCCAGGAGGCACAGTCTGGTGCTGTCCCTCCTCCCATGTTGTGATGTGGCTGCCTGCAGCCCAGGACAGCTCTGGCTGAGCATTAAGAACTGGTGACAAACATTTTTTTGTTATCCCTTCCTCTTGCCACCACCATCTTCACACGGTCAGCAGCAGGGAGCTGGCGCCCCAAACCCGTGGCACAGCGCCCTTCTCAAGGAGCAGCCCAGCTTTTGGGTGGTCAGGTGGGCACACCCAAGGAGGAGACAGTCACTCTTCTCTGTCTCTAAGCCCCCTGGGACACCAATGGCAGGGCTGCTGAGATCTGTCTCAAGGACACCTACGTGCAAGGGCCAGGGATAGGCTGGGGAGCCTCTGGGCCTGGCTGGCCATGTGGGCTGCGGTTGCAGGGGCAGTAGGCATGAGTGTCAGGCTGTCCACATCCCAAGGCTCAGAACAGGTGCTGGGCAGAGAAGTGTCCAGCAGCGGACTGAGCGGGTCTAGCCAGGGTGTGACTTCAGGGCAGGAAGGCCAGTGCCCAAGGCCTAGCTGACAGAGCAGGAGAGACTGTCACTGGCGAAGGAGGTGGCAGTGGGTGTTATCCTTGGCCAACCCCTGTTCCATGGCCCAACACCCTCAAGTTGCTTTTGTACAATGGAGATTCAGGGTCCAGAATGTGAATTCACCTCAGAGACAAGCTGGGAGAGACCCCAGTCCCGGGCATCACTGAGCCTTAGCGGTAGCAGCTGGGCACAACTGTGGTCTGTCTTTTGAGGCAGGCACTAATTCCCCTGTCTCTCCTTAGGTACTTCTACTCCCGGAGGATTGAGGTCTCCTTGATGTCTATCAAGTGCTTGCACAAGCTGGCTTCCGCCTACAGGGCCGTGCAGCTGCAGGATTACTGCGGAAGCCTCTTCTCCACTCTCCTGCCCCAGGACCCCTCTTTCCGCACAACCCTGGACCTCTATGCCTATGCACAGCTCTCGGGTGATGCCCTGCTGGAGGAGCGGTGCGTGCAGTTCCTGGCCTGGAACTTTGGGGCCCTGACACAGTCCCAGGCCTGGCTGAGCATCCCCACTGCCCTGCTCCAGGCGCTCCTCTTTAGGAGCGACATGACTGTGCCCAGTGAGCTGAGCCTGCTGCAGGCCCTGGATGCCTGGAGCAGGGAGCAGGGCATCTCCCAGAGGGAGGCCCAGGTCTTGCTGGAGCAGGTCCGCTTCCCCATGATGCTGCCCGAGGAGCTCTTCCAATTGCAGTTCAACCTGTCCCTGTACCAGGACCATGAGGCCCTGTTCCAGAAAAAGATTCTGCAGGCCCTGGAGTTCCACACAGTGCCCCTGTGGCTCCTGGTCCGGTACCAGGGCCTGAACATCACCCAGGACGCCTACATGCCCCGAATTTATACCTCAGACACCTGGAGCACCTTGGTGACAGCCAGTTCTTGGGACCAGCAGCTGAGTTCTAGAAAACAAAGGAAGAAGTATATGACCCAAACTTACCCCTACTATTATGTGAAAAACCTCTCAAATGGGTACATGAACAGCCCCTACCGTTCCTTCCAGACCCCAGAGCACCCCAGCTTCCTCTTCAAGACGAGGCTGGTCTCTTGGACGGTTGCCTACCTTCCTACCGTACAGAGCTGCTGGAACTATGGGTTCTCCTGCTCCTCTGACGAGCTCCCGGCCCTGGGCTTCACCAGGTCTGGTTCCTTTGAGCCCACCATCGGCTACGAAAACAGAGCCCTGATGCTCTGCAAAGGGGGCATCGTGGTGGATGTCTTGGACTTCCCAGGCTCGAAGACCTCAATCCCCAGTGCCCTGGGCACCAACAGCACCAGGGGCACTTCCACTTTCCCCTGCACTGCAGGCTTCTTCAGCACCTTCCGCATGGCCATCCGGCCCTTCTACCTGAGCAACATGACCAGCCTGGACTAAATGGGGCCACCCAGAGGCTGGGCCGTTGTGCTAGGGATGCTCCCCTCTGGGGCCTCCATGCCACTGGCCACCAGATGTCTCCCTGCTTCCACTGGTCTCTGTGACCTTAAAAAAAATCATTAGAAGGCCTTGACTAGCACTCACCTCAAATTCTAAAATTTTTAGTGCTCCCCTGGGTGCTGAGGTCTCAGTACTCCCACTGCCTGGCTGGCTTCCAGTTGGGGAGGCGAGAAGATCACTGTGGGAGTCCCAGGTCCCCTTGCAGCTGCTCCGTCCACTGCTGTCACTGCTCTGAGGCCATTAAAACCATGCTGTGCTTCCCAGTCTGCTCATTCATGCAGGGAGTATTGTTGGCTTTGCACCATGCTGGACATCAGGGGTGTCCCTGTCCTCATGATGCTGTGGGCTGGGGAAGAGACAAGTGGTAGCAGGTGAACATCCCAGCCTGGGGTCTCTACAGAAGCGGTGGCACAGGATGGAAACCACAGGGTGTGGGGTACAGCCACAGAACACAGGCCTGCTTCAGACTGATGAGACCTCTGGAAAACATGACAATTCCTTTTCACACTTGTGAACCCAGAACTACAGGTAGCCTGAGGCAGAAAGATCCCAGGTTCAAGGCCCACCTGGGCAATTTGGTGAGACCCCATCTCAAAATAAGAAATAAGAAAGGGCTGGGGATGTAGCTGAGTGCTACAGACCTGGGTTCGGTCCCCAGTGTCATTCACGCATGCACATGCACACATATGACAGTAGACAAGGACTCAGAGGCTGAGGAGAAATGAGTTTGTGAAGATGGCAGCGTACAGTCCCAGGAAGGGAGCTCCCGTGTGGAGTCTCTGCTGGAAGTCCTGGCAGCTGCACAGAGGGGAGGAGGAAGACTTGCATCTCAGTGTCTGTGAGAATGGGCCATGGGCACCACCCTAACACCCATCACCAGAATCCACCTGTGGGCAGACCCCACCTTGGGCAGACCCCACCTTGCCATAACACATTGCCATGACCCCCCCCCATGCTTCCCTTCAACTTCAAATATGCTCATTGTGGGCTGGGGATTTAGCTCAGCATTATAAGCACAAGGTAGTGAGTTCAATCCCCAGTGCCAAACAAAATGAAACAAACCCATCCATCATTCCTGCCACACTCCAAAAGCAGGTCTGCGAGTCCTCTTTTGTGAGTGTCTTCAGTTGCATGGCCCTGCTTGCCTCAGTGTCCTGAATGGATCCACGGCATTTCCCTCCATGGTTATTTTGCCACTGGGGAAGAGCCAGAGGCCGCACAGTGCCGGGTCCCGTGAGTGGCAGATGAGGACACAGCGTGGTGTTTCCCTGACCTGCCTTTTGCTCAGTGGCAGTCAGTGGGCAGTGGGCAGTGTTCTCCTCATTCTTTATCACATAAAGAGAACCTGACAGCTGCTCCAGAAGGTGGCAAGGACGATGGGGTAGGTGTGCTCTAAGTGACAGGAGGATTCTACGGGGGATGGACAGCAAATGTGTCTTTTATTGAAGGAATTACCTTTTATCTAAACGCTCACCGTATTTTCTGACCATCCCTTTCAGATGCCCTGGGGCATGTGACTTTTCTAGGTACCTGTACTCGTGCTCTTCCCAAAGTTGGCTGCCCCCTTGCTGCCTCCCTCCGTGGAGCCCCAAGGTCTCTGACCATAGAGCAGCACTGCCGTGGGGCAGTGGCTGTCCTCTCCCTCTGGCCACAGGGAAGGTGATCCACGTCGCTCTGCCTGCCGTCACAGGAAGGACCCAGCCTGTGTGGGCCTGCAGCGGGACCCGAAGCTGGTCCCTGATGTCTGTGAAGCAGACACAGGTCACTGGGCCTCCAGAGACCACAGGGCCACAGAATAGGACAGATCTCATCCATGGAGAGCCTCTATGGACCTACAGGCAGGTGTTGGGCCAAATCTGGGTGCGACTCAGGAGAAAAGAAGTTCCCTGCTCAGGGTGTCCTTGTTCCCAACCCTGACACCTGGGCCTCCTCTGGGACCACATAACCCCTCAGTGCCTGTCACGGCTCAAACTCTCCACCTGGTCAGGGGACTCTTAAATTCCCATGCAAGGTGTCCTGCTCCCAAGAAGGAGCCGCCTCTGCCACCAGCCCCTGGGTTTCCAGAGGAGCTGGAGCTACATCCCAAGTGTCACACATGTCACCTTGAAAGCCCACCAAGGCCTAATGGGGGTGTGTCCTTTCCTAAAGGACAGTTGTTCCTTTGGGATGCACTCCGGGGAACCGTGCTTTGCCCAATCCGGTGACCACAGCGCAGGCGCAAAGGAGCTGAGGAGTCTGCAGCAGGGTGCATGCACAGTCCTGGAGGTGCCAGGCAGAGGACGAGATGCAGGGAGAGAGACAGGGAGCGATGGAGAAGGGGGGGGCGGCAGCAAACAGCACTGTCCTTGACAAGGCGAGTCCCACTGTGTGCCTCTGCGCTACCACAGCGCCGCCTGCTGGATTGCGCACTCGTGTCGTTTAGGATAATCTAGCCGGCAGGGCAGCATCTGCCCAGCAGGCGCGAGGCCCTGGGTGCTATCCGCAGCCCTGAGGGAAAGAAGACAGCCACAAAGCCCTTTTCGGGAGTTCAGTTGGCGGGCAGTGGCTTAGGCCCTCTGGGAAGGCTGGACAGGACCTCAGCACTGCGCACGCATGTTGCTGTGGGGGCACTAGGTGCCCCGGAAGTCCTGGTGGCTCAAGTCACCTCTGATTGCCAGATTCGAGATGGTCAGCGATGGGAATCGCCAGAGGCTTTTCCAAGCTGCCCTTCGGCCTTGGTCCTGAGCTCTGCGCCATGAGACCAGCGCTCCCCACTGCTGCTGAAGTCCCCGGGCGGGGGCACAACCAGGGCCTCCTCTCTGTGTGTCCCCCAGGCCCTGGCAGAGGCGGCTCTCAAGTCCATCCCCAGCAGCACTAGGAAATCACCGCCACTGCACACACCTCGGAGCCCTGGGGTCCGTGGCTAGAAGTCTGGCTTCTGTCAGGCAGTTGAGGAGATAATTAACACCACACCCAGCGGTGCAAGCCAGAATTGCTGGTGGATGCACCTGTACCCGATATTTTTAGTTGTAGCTTCATATAATGAAAACCCAAAATAGCAGAGGCTTATATGACATTTTTCTTTATTTTCTCTCAAATAAAAGAGAGAAGGCAGCCTCTGGAAGGTGACATCCTCTCTTTTCATATCACCACTTTAGCACATAAGTGACAGCCTCAGGGTTACCTCGTGCTTCATAATGGCTGCTGGGACCCCAGCCATCACTTCCTTTTCGGTAGCAGGCAGAGGGGATTAGCAAAGGATGAAAAACACTTCCCCAACTATCTATCCCCTGAAACTGAGCCCCTCTTTAAGTTTTGTACCTAAGGCACCTCACAGGCCTCCTATTCCTGCCCTGTGCTGGATCAAACTGTATATAGTTTCTGGCTTCCTCAGCCCTGCAGCTGCATATGATAAGAGATCTAGTAACATGGTCACAGGGTCACTGTGTCACATGGTCACTAACATGAAACACGGTCCCTGTGTTTCACTGTGTGACTTGGGCTGAGAATGGAGGGATAGGAGCTTGTCACCATCCTCCTTTAGCTTTTCCAGGCCCCTGGAAGCCACTGCCTGGATCTCTGGGGCTTGAGCACCTTCATGTGTACACAACTGCGTGCCCCAGTTGTTCCCAGGGACCATGGGGACAGCTGAGCCAGCCACCTGCCACCCTGTGCAGAGACAGATTCCATGGGTACGGTAGAATTCTTTTTTTTTTTTTTTAAAGATTCTTTTTTTTTTTGGTCTTTTTCGTTTTTATCGGTACCAGGGATCGAACTCACGACCACACACTTGCAAGGAAGGCGCTTATGCCACTGAGCTAAATCCCCAGGCCCCAAATTCTTAAAACAGTTTTGTTGGTGTGCAGCATGTGTGCACATACACACATACAAACACACACACACGCACAGCAAAATACACAGGTGCTAAGTGTGATGCTCAATTAGAACCCACATAATCGCCCCACTGTGGGGCCAGTGGACACCTCCTTCACCCAGGAGGCCTCTCAGTCAGCAGTCCTTCCAGTGGCACCTACAACCTCCAATGGGTATGTGCCTATCGTTGCAGCCAAAGGCGAATTCTAGGATACAATGGATCATAACTGTCACCCTGATTTACACTTCGGTTTTCAGTTGCTTGGCATTGTAAAATATTCTCTCCTTTTTTTCACTCTCTATTGAGTTCTGGGGATCAAACCCAGGGCCTTCATCCTAAGCTACATCTCCAGTCCTTTTTAGGGTTAGCTATAGTTGGTTTTGTTTGTGTAATGGTTGATACATTGTGTCAACCTGAGTTTAGAAGTTTAAGCAACTCAGCAGGAGGCCAGGGTCCTCACTTTGTAAGCTCGGAGACTGCGTGAGTCCTGCACCGGCCCTAGGAGGACATAGCCTGCTTACAGCATGAGGGAAGGAAAGAGGCTTGCTCTCTCCTCTCTTGCTCTCGCCGTTCTTGCTGTCTTCTGCCACCTTGAACTGTTGCCCCTGGGCCATGCCACCCTGTCTAGGAGCCAATTATGGACTGAAACCTCCACAAACTGTGAGCTAAATATGGACTGAAACCTCCACAAACTGTGAGCTAAATAAAACTTTCCTTCCTTCATTTGGGGACAAGGAGAGTAGAGTAACTGATTGTTTGAGACAGTCTGTTGGCCCACTCGGGGGCTCAAGGGAGATTTTCACAGGTGAGGTCTTCAGATTAAAGAACACATATGTGCAAGACACCAGCAACCACAGCAGGCAGCTTGGAGCAGAGCAGAGAGCCAGAGCCAGAGCCGCCTGCATCTTTACTGCATAATTCTTATGGAGGTTGCTATGTCATGTTTACATTCTACCTAGTACCATAACCAGTGCATGCTTGTTTATGTGTGCTAAATCATGGTTACATTGCTACACAGGAGTCAAGGCCTCGGATGTCCTTACACATCCCTAAGCTTTGAAACAGTCAGAGTCTCTTCTAAAGTGCCCAATATGGGCTCAAATTTGGGATCCTCCTGCCTCAGCTTCCTGAATAGCTAGGTTAACAGGCAAACATGCTGCCATGCCTGGCTGTTTGGTATTTTGAATAAAACTTCTCCCAACTTTGTAAATATTTATACACCATGATAGAAGCTTCCACGTGGGTGAACATTTTCCAGACTTGTGGGACCCTGAGATCTGCCGGGCTGACTCAGACTGCCCAGGAGACTTCTTTCTTGTGCTAAAATATATGTAATTTTTTCCATCTTTGTTGGGTTCAAGTGTAGGTAGCACCCAAAGTACTATTCATTAAGCACACTCACATAATTCC